ATACTCTATGTTTGATCTATGCAAACGACGGTATCAAGATTGACTATGAGAGTACAAGAATGCTGCATGCCACAATGAGAAACCATCATTTATTGATGGTTCTTGGAAATCTTATACTTGTGAGACACGATTGTTGCGTTAATAAATTAATTAAAAGCAAAGGCAGGTTGCTAATCTTCGTTCATAGGTCACGGAGTTTACTTGATCTCGAATGCAATGCAATAATAAACTGCCCGGACATTACAAACCATATATGCACCAGGGCAGCCTCTCAATGTGCCCGGACTCCCCGGAGGTGGGCGGTCCCCTTGCCGGGATCGTGTTGGAGCCCTAGCTCCGCCCTCAGAGACGAACTGGGGGTGCCGGGGGCGGCGGCAGTGGCGTCAGGATATTCGTCGGCGTGGAAAGCACCCTCGAGACGATGCTGGCGATGGGTCGTCGGGCGGAGAGCTGGCAGGCCTACTTCGGGCGAGAGCTCACTTTAGTGCATGAGAGCAAAAAGGAAGGCATACAGGTTGCAATGTCGGGCTCTGGCAGGCCACATACTTGGGCCATGCGGTCTGCTGGTAGACATGCTAGCTTTTGTGGCCAGGTCTGGCCTGTTGGTCTCATTTAATAGAAATATTACTAGATGGATATCAACCAATCAAGTAAAAACTCATAAGAAGCAACTCAGATATTTAATAAGCTTGAGATACATGATCTAAGCGTCCAACCCATAATTAAATTAGATTTAGTTATGGTTATGGTTTGGGCCAAACTCTGACTGAATAACCGCTAGTCTTGCAACGTAAAGACAAGTTTGATAATTGAAATTTAAAAAAAGAATGACCTCCTCCTTGAAATCTTCTTGCAAAAGGTTGTTCGTGTCTTATATGCAGTTCCTATCTTTCGGAGTATGTAGGCTTAGTTGCAGAAACCGGCCACACAGCCCGTTGTTTAACATACTAATCAAACTTTCATCTATCCTTATCTGAGCTGATGTCTGATGATGACCCAGACATCTTATAAAAATGATCGTTGCTAGATTAATATAATATATATGTAATCATACCTCTAGACCGAAATTCCGTTCTAGTAGTGCGGTATATATCCTCTAACTGAACATCTATTTGATTTTAATTGATCAGGAGTAACAATGTGCAAAAATCATCCAAATTCTGTATCACTTAAATTTTGTCTATTAGTATTAGCTAAAGCTATATCTAGATCGCGTCGACAGAGAAAGCATCACTTTATTGTGATTACAGTACCACATACAAAATGTTCGGTGGATGCATTCAATCAGTCGAAGGCCGGCAATCTTTATTGATATCACGGGTTTGTTGACGTGATGATCTTCTAATTTAAATATGCGCTGGTCGATATCTGAATTCTTTGAATTGAATGAGTCCATAGTATAAGACACAATCGTCCTGTTTGTTTGGGCTAGTTTGACTTATAAGCCATGACTGAAAGTACTATTGACTGGTTTGGTGTGAGAGAAAAATACTATTCGTTGACTGATAAGTCATGACTTATAAGCCAAATACGACCAAGCGAACAGGCTGAATACAAGATACGACACAAAGCAAATCGGTTCCCAACTCACATTCATGCGTCTTTCTTTTAACACTATGGTGCTTCAAATTAATTTGAGATGCCTGAAATAATCCGAGCGTCCACAAATTATGACGCTCGTCCCCGCCGGTCTCTCGGCCGCCATGTCCAGCACCTGCGCCATGCACCATGCTAACCTAACGTCATCAGGCAATCACTATTCCAAAACCCTTCTCTGGTCCAACTGCCATTTTCCTCCGCCCTTGACCACAGACGGTCCCGCTGCCTCGCTGCTCTGTTCCCCTGCCTGCCTTCTTTGCCCCGTCCGTGTGCAGCCTAACAACTTACCTTATTTGATGCATATGTATTCAATTCAATCCACATGTGTTGAAGTGGATTGGAGTTGAATTGAATTAAGTTCTATTTCAATCCACTCCAACACACGTAGATTGAGATGAATACATACACATAAAAAAAAGGCCTTAGATTCTGTCCGTCATCAACACATCCATCATGAGTTCACTCCTCCTAGGATTGGATGCGCTATGATTCTGAGGGAAAAATGAGTCGGTCCCTGATTTTAGCCTGCCGGTGGAATGACATGATAACGGACGAGTTGACTCTTTGGGTCAAACCAAACACCCTATTTAGGTTCGGATGGTTTCGTATGCTTGGGTTACGCGAACCAATCATGCTGTTAAAGGCTGGAGATGGAGAATCTTGCTGGAATTACCTGACGCTACTAACCCTGGAACCTAACACATCCCTGAGAAGCTTCAAAGTTTCCGACAACTAAGGTATTATAGAAAATAAGTTAGATTAATGGTATCTCTATCTATGAGACAACTGTATTATTCAAATGATAATTATGTTCAGCATTTCTATCGCTGAAACATTGGCGATTGTACATGTTTATAAGGTGCCTTGGTAAAATTTTACAAGTTATATAGTAATTATTAGTGCAAAAGACGGCGACATACCACAACGTTAGGATGCATGGATTGCAGCCAAATCAAAACATCAGTAACGGACCGTCTGGCATTGTTAAAACTGCACACTTCAGACAAAGGCCAGCGCAGCGCCCAGCAAGTGTATGCACCGAAGAACCGTTTGGCGTTATTGAAAACACACAGACTGGACAAACAACAGCGCAACGCTTGGCGTGTGTACGCACCGGACCATCCAGTCGGTGAAAAAATGCACATACCAGACAATAACATTGTAGCGCTGGAAAACATGTAAACCCTAGATTGAAGAAACGCACTGACCAGATCGTTCGGTGCTTTGATTTTCACCTGGACGATCTTTGAACATTGGCTCAGGAGACATAACTATCATGCTTTCATGGTGAAGAGTGACTAGGTTTACAAGTAAACCAACAAAGGTAACTATCATGCTTGCATGACAAGGAAAGACTAGTTTCTCACAGACTAGCAAAGGAGCCATTGGAACTCTTTGACAGAGAGGACCGACAAGGATGTCGGCAGCGGGTTGCGCTAGGTCGGCCTCCAAACCTAGAGTGCCATAGTTGGTCGTTGGATCAAGAGAGGAACAACAACTCGGGGTTGGAAAAGTAGGGCAAAGGAGAAGATAGAGTGAAAATTAAATTTATAGATTGATTGGTGCAATTGGATAGATCCCTCAAGTGGTCGTGGCCATTTGCGAGCTGTTTGATACGCCCACCAGTAAAGTAAACATAAACGAACTTAGTTCAAATCGTCCCTCCCACTATAACGTCCGAGGGCATAATTTATCTGCGTTTGCGATACGAACCTGACAACCAAACTTTATAGGGTGGGAGATCTATTCCGGAAAATCCAAATATATTTACCAAAAAAAAATCTCAAAATAAACTCAAACCAAACATATGGGCCCCTTTGGATTGTGGGGAAAATAAAAAAATAGGATTAATATTCCTATGAATTCAGTTACTGTGGCTTGATCCAAACGTATGGACCCTTTGTTCGCATGAATCATCCACAGGAAAAACGTTGGAAACTTTACAATGTGCTTGATATCACAGGAAAACCATAGAAAAAAATCCACTCAAACCTCATGTTTCTTGCTTTCTGTTTTTCCCTACAGTTGATCCGAACACCCATTTCTATAAAATTTCTGTATTTTCATTCCTCTATTTTGCATATGTACTCCTATCTCATTCCTGTGTTTTTTATTTCTGTATTTTTTTTAATCCTGCATTCCAAGGGGGCTAAAGTTGAGTCCATCTGAGACTCACCTGGAAGAGAGAATTATGTCTTTGGCACTGGAACAAATTAGTCTTTCTTATTTGGCACTAGAAAATTTTGAACTTATTTATCTGGCACTGAGTTGAAATTTTCTTCCGTAAATGGCACCGCCATCCATTTGGACCGGTAACAGTATCAAGTGGCTGGCAAATTTACATGAATGCCCTTGTTTTGCGCGCCGGCAGGCGAGGCCGCCCTACAACCTGGGCAACCCGTGCGCGATGAGCCGCGATAGCTGGCCGGAGCACCAGCCGGTGAGCCCTCCCCGCCGCGTCCGCCACGTCGCGGCATTGCTAGAACACCGGCGGGCGAGCTCGCACCACCGCGTCCCCCGCACCGCGCCGTGGGTGGGCACCAGTGCCGTCAGGCAAGGCCATCTCTGGGAGTCCTCCGCGCGTCTCGCTGCCACTTCCGTCCTAGGCCGTCCTGCCACCACGCTGCACCCCCGCACCGTGAGCTAGTGCCAGCACCGGTGGGCGAGGCTTGCCGCGTCCCCTGCGCCGCGACCGGTCATCTCCGGGCAGGATCGCGCCATGTCCTCCGTGAGCTCCTATACATCGCCGCCCAATGGCTCCTCTTCCCCATCCTCGTCTCCTCCAGCATCCATGGATCTAGGGTTTTTTTTAGAAGAAGAGGAAGCATTAGGGGAGAAGGGGAGGCATGCGTGAGACCGTGACTCCACGTGTACGCCCGCGCCAGCGGGAGACATGGCATGTGCTAAACATAGGGGCATTTTGGTCCTTCTGAAAGAAAGCGGATATGGTCAATATGGATATACCTAATGGATGGCAGTGCCATTTACAGAAGAAAATTTCAACTCGGTGCTATGTAAGAAAGTTAAAATTTTCTAGTGTCAAATAAGAAAGACTAATTTGTTTCAGTACCAAAACCATAATTTCCTCTAAACATTATGACAAACAGATTTGCTACGGTTAGCAAAAGTAACAAACTAATCACCACCTCATGAAGTTAAACTAGATCGGCAGTTCCACTAAAAAAAACTAGATCGGCAGTTTGTGCATGGGTGTTTACTTTGTTCGATAAAAAATATTGTACACACTGCCTTTCACATTAAACAGGACAAAGATCCCGCCAAAAAATGAATTACTACTCTAGATGTATCACTTTATACTGCTCAAACGTAGTAAAACCAGATGTCACGAGTCGCCTTCTGGTGAAAGAATGAATAACCAGAGAACACCCACCCCTGCGCTTTCATGCGCGTGCCCCGCGACCGCCAGGGCGCACGGCACCGCTCCTCGCGCTTTGCCGCTGCTCGGAGCGCACGCGCAGTGCACACAGCTGCGCCTCCCACACGTCCCTCGCGAACGCAGCACCGGCCGGGTCGTCCTCCCCGCTCGCCCTCAGCTCGGCGTCGTACCGGAGCCTCTGCGCCGGGTCGGAGAGCGTCTCGTAGGCGCGCCGCAGCTCGAGGAAGAGCTCCGTGGACTCGGCGCGGCGCGACGGCGGGCACACGTCGGGGTGGTACCGCAGCGCCAGCCGCCAGTACGCGCGCTTGATCTCCTCCGCGCCCACGGCCGCCGAGTGCTCCAGCGACAACACCTTGTAGTAGTCTTTCTTGCTTCCCTCCGAGCAGAAATGATTAGCCCTTGGTGACGTAGCCACGGCCTTCACCGTGCAGTGGCTGATCCTCCGGCAAAAGACGGCAGCTCTGGTGATCCTGCCTGTGCCTGCAGTCCTCGTCGGCATCGGGATGGTGGTGCTGGTGCTGGTGGCCATAACGTAGGCCACTAGGCCTGCAGGTTAGGTAGCTAGACAGCTAGCTGATCGAACAAATAAGCAAGCCGGACGTGTATATATAGCCGCTGGCAGGGCGGCCAGGAGACGAGACAAACAAGCTAGGTGGGGCCAGTGATATACGCGTTTTGCACGGGTGGCTGCGTGGTCGCCATCGTCGGCGAGCTAGCTGTGGCGGGACGGCACAAGACGCATGCGTCGAGGTCAAAACTAAGTTTTGTGAGAGTAGGTGTGTGCTGTGCGTGCCATTCGGATTATTGGCATTACAAATTGAAACGGCAGACAAGTAAAAGCGAGGCCGCGCGTGCGGGTTGTCGTGCCAGGCCGGTCTCTCTCCCATGTGGATACTAGCGCTTTTATTGAAATCGGCAACGGCGAGAAGCGATGGACGTACGGAGTGGCCACGCCGGCTCCCGGCCGGCGGGCTGTTAGGTTCTTCGGTGGGGTACTCCAGGCTCTCAAGTTCATGTATGTACGTGATGCATGCCCTGCTCACATTCACATGACGTCGCGTGTACGTAGACGCACGTACTGACTGTAGCTAGCTAGGACCACTGTAGAAGGAAGAAACAGTCGTCTAGTGCTGCAAATAATATGATTTGCCACCGCAAAAAAGATGATTGTTATCGTATGTGGGGGTAGTTGTGCAACTTGGCGAGAAAACAACTAGCCAGAGCCAGCGATCGACCCATTGTTTCAGCTAGTAATCGAACATACTCAGCTTATCCGTGGTTCCTATCGCACACATATAAACCAATAACGCATTTATTGGTCTATGTGTAAATGGCGCTTTTTCCCTCACCCAAAAGAAAAACAGGGTCATGTCCACGGCGTGACGCGCTGTGACAAGGATCCCCACGCGTCTGTATAGTGGAGGACTCCAGGCCTGCACGACGGTTTCCCTCCATGCGGAGGAGGAAGTCTAGCATGCCATGGAAGCCGTGAGAAGGCACACCCAAAGAAGCCACGGTGGTAGCAGAACACCTGACGGTCAGTGGCAGGCAAAACTAGTGGCCGTCAGTGAGCAGTTGGGACGTTGTCAGCCCTCAACTACAAGACAAAGGAGGACTCACGGCGCCGTGGATAAGAAGAATGAAGCCTTGGGTGAGAAACCCTAGGCAAAACTCAAAGACCACATGACTTGTACTGTAGAAGGGATCGATCAGATCTCAGCCGATCAATCCCTAGAGTAGCGTAGCGCTTCCCCCTACATCTCTCTCTTTCCCCATTGTAAGAACTCAAATGAGCATTCCTAACACGAAGAACAACACTGCTGGACATAGGGCTTAGATGCCTAAACTAGAAAAAAAAAACTTATGTTTTGAGTGTTTAAGCCGCCTGAGGCACACAAATCAACCCACATCGAACAACCCGATTATGACGGTTGAAACGAAGCCACGGTACCATCCTTGGTTGAGGATTTACTGTGCTAGGGATATATAATAAGTAGAAATGTTGACCACACAAGGATAGTGGTCAGAATGAGTCATCTCTAGTGCCTTCACTGAGGTATCTGGTTGTGAGAGGGCCCAAGAGTTGCAGGTAAAAACCCAGACCAATTTTTCAAGAAGTGGTGAGGGTTGCATATTAGACCATGTAAACATTCTGCCTTGTAGGGTAACTTCATTCAAGCCCAAAGGACTAATGGCTTCATTAAAAAGAAGCATCTCCATTAGATCCCCTCCTGCTTTGTTTCTATCTTCTTACCTTCTAAGGGCATCCGCAGTGGTTGAGTCGATTTATCATGACAAAGACAGCCACGTCGGCTGAGCCCATGAATCGACTCATAGCCCAACAGTACCATGGCCCCCCAGGAAAATAAAAACACCAACAACACGAGCCGTTTATTCTTATATACGGACTGCTTTCTTCCACCTCGGGTCGATCTGAAGCCTTGACGTGTGCCTGCTCGTCTGGTTGAGGGCGACGGCCGGCGGCCGCACGCCCGCATACGCTAGCGCCGCCGTTCTACTTCTAATTCCAGCCCGCCTCGGCTCGCCAGCGCCTTCTTCTCTCCCTCTCACTCTCTGGCGTCATCTGACCGATCCGATTCTGGACCGATGGCGGTCGGATCCGGCGTGGTCCGAGCCATGGTCAGAGGACAGCGTCCAAGACGAAGGCGTCCATTGCCGCAAAGGACGGGCTCCCTCGGCGTCGAGACTGATGCGAACTGCCGCCGCCGCTGTTCGATTCGTCGCCGCTACTGATGCCTGACTTTTCTGTCCCAGCTCAACCCGCTCCAACGCCGCCGCCCAACTCACTCCGCCCCGGTCTTACAGGTGGGCTGAATTCATTATTTACTCCGGAAGAGTCGACTCTGAAACTTGAGTCGATTTTTCTCTCTCTTCTCCATGAGTAGACCATAAGTCATGTGCTCCAGTCGTTGGGTCGATTCGTTGAGCCTCCACGTCAGATCATGAGTCGCTTTTGTGTGTCCACTGGAGAAGCCCTAATTGTATTGAAGACCCCCAAGATGATCTAGTCTATTTCTTCAAGCATTTGGATTTGCTTTAGCCAAGTAATAAAGTTCCTTTTTCCTTCGTGGTGACACAGGGCATAATTAAATAATTGTTAAAACCCAACTATTATTGTTGTGCAAAGAATGGAATTCGACTAATATGGAGAACTCATTGCTAAAAATCAATTCTCCTCTGAACAGCGAACTCTTTCATGCAGTTAAGAGTCCTCCAGAGGCACCCACAGAGAAGGAAGGAATTCAAAGTTGTCAAAAGAAGGGGGACAAACATTTCTGATGAATTATAAGTCAAGTTGCTCCATTTTTGTTTCTTGAAAGCAAACAACGTCACATGAGGCCTCAGTCACTTTATCTTTGATGGCACACTCCACTAACCTCTAGCATTAATGCCCCTCACATTCTAGCTCATGACATTCCATTTCCTATGATGATTTCGATTCATTGCAGGAATAAAAGAAAAATTGACAGAACTGGCCACTCGTTATCTGGTGCCTGGAAATTGAGACAGATAGCACAAACTGAACAAAAGCATGACTGTTCTACCCGACTGACATAGTTATAACACATACTGCCATACAAATGCTCAGAGCTAACACAAGGCAACCAATGGCCCTTAGGATACCTAGTACCCCAATCTAGCAAAAGACTTACTTTTCTTGATATTGATAGATCAGGTAGCATCATCTTCACCTTCTTCTGGTCCTTCCTTGCTGCTTCCTTAATTTCCAAGAGCCTTCTTCCTCAAGCTGACTTTACTTTTCCTACTTGCCACCAGGTTTGGCTGCTTCCTTTTCTTCAGCAGCATCTCATCAGTTAAGCTTTCTTGATCCATCTTGCAAAATTCAACACCCTGGGATTTGATCACTTTGACATGAATAGTTGGAAGGTTTTGAGAGCAAGCCAAACATTTTCTGTTTGAGTAAACTGAATTTTTAAAGCCATTACTCACCTGCTTAACCCTGCTACTTCTAAGGTTGATGTCCACAATGACTGGCCTTTCTGCTGGCTCTCTTTCTTGGGGGACTGCTCGGCTGCACTTTCGTTGTGCCAAGAATTTGTGCACCTATGACCTATCCGTTTTCTTCAGTTTAACCATTCACCATGGTCACTGTACCTCATGAAACTTCTTGGAGGGCCAGTGGAGAGGCAGTGAACGAAGAACCGATGGGGGTAAGTAATTGATTGCAATTCATCTTTTCTTATGTGCTTCAATATTTTAGATACCGACTGATCGTGGGTATGTATAGCTCCTGGCCTTTGTACTAAGACTGCCGGTAGCTTAAAAAAAGACTGCACAAAAACATTTCTGCCATCAAAAGGCTAAAAATCATAAAGAAAGAAGTCTAAATTACTTCCTCTAAATTTGTCCTATATCGAGATAACCACTTAACTAATGTTTGTTCGATTTACTCCCTCCAACTATTTGAGTTGGTCCAATTTACCCCTTAATAAGATTTGTTATTTTGTTCCTCCACGTGTAAGTTGAGTTTTTATTTCAAAATTTGTGAGGTGATATAGGACATCAAATTTTATGTGAAAAATTTACATCATGATTTTTCATCACTATTTTCATAGGTTAGGAAATTTAATAATAGATTAACATTATAGATACACAATTGTACGAAACATAATGATGAAAAATTCATAAAATATTTTTCTAACACAAAATATGCTGTTATGTATCATCTAACATAATTTGTAATTAAAAGACAACTTATATATGTAGAGAAACAAAACGATGAATCTTAGGAAAAGATAAATTGGACCAACTAAAATAGTTGAGGATAGAAAATTCAACAAATTGTTAGTTGTAGGGGTTATCCGAGCATAGGCCATTGCACGGAGTAATTTGGACTTTTTCCGGTCGTAAACATTATGACAAACAGATTTTAGTGCTACGGTTAACAAAAGTAACAAGCTAATCACCACCTCATTTTGATAAATTAAATCGGCAGTTTGTACATGGGTGTTTACTTTGTTTTTTTTGATAAAATTGGAGGGGCTTGCATCCCTACTGGAAAGTTTTATTGAAGAAATAATACAAAGAGTTTACAACAGGGTATCACGAAACAAAGAAAGACTGGAAAAAAAATTAAAAAGATTACACAAAGGCTTCTAGCCATAAGTCAATTCTAGGATGTAAAACCGCCATTGCTCTTAGGATAACCAGAGCAAACTCTTTTTGAAGATCGATTTACAGTGACTGACGGAGTGAGGAATGTCCTTGAAGATAACATCATTTTGCACCATCCAAATAGACCAACTTAGTGATAATAATCTCCATGGCAAAAGGCAAGCGCAGCTGTGCCGAAAGACTCTCAACAATCAGGCAGGGGTCTTCAGAATTGGGCACCACCAAAAACAACGTATACCAGCAAGCAGCTGCAAACGGACAGTGAAAAAGAAGGTGTGCCAGGTCCTCCTCCATATTACAGTGACATAGAACACATGTATAGTCAGGTAAATGCATATGCCTCCTCTGAAGCTTGGTTCTGGTGTTAAGGCG